CAGCACTCACCCTCTCCCTTTTCTTTGTCTGTTCCCAGGGCTTTTCATGTTTGAAGTAGGCCTTTTTACTCCTGGAAGCAAGGGAAGAAGGGGGAGACTGTTTGGGAACTATGGAGGTTGGTATGAAGGTGGGTGGGTAGTGGCTGGGGATGACAAAAGAGGGGGGGCTGAGCTTGAAAGGGCTTCCGTGGATGGCACTTCTGCCTTGTCTACACATGGCTGCTTTCCACAATGCTGCAATACAACCTGTTAATTGCAGTGCAGGAAACGGTGGGGATATTTGAGGGAGGGTGGACTGGGCTGCAACAAAGAAGGCTAGAGATGGGGTCACAAGCTAAGATACAGCATTAAAATGGACCAGAACCCTGGCGATGCAGACATTGGAACCAAGGATTGAGGTGCTTGTCTGTTCTGCTAAGGACACAGTCTCCATTATCTCCTGCTTGTCTACTTGCCTATAGATCCTCCTGCGTGTCTTCTGCTTCAGAGTCTGAGATCATTGGAAGCAAGGAAGCAAAGAGGAAATTATCTCTGATCAGTATAACTGGTAAGAGGGTGGGAGCTGTCTAGGTATTCCTCAAATGTGGGTTAGTGGAGATCAGTGTGCATCCTGTAAGGGACAGTCTGGAGGAGCTTTTTATTCTTCTTCACAGCCATTTTTTTCTCACCATTCCTGATATTTACCCCAAACCTTTACCATAATTCTGGTATATGGAAAACAGTCTGATAGCACCTAAGAACATTGAGTAAACTGAGGGAGTAAATTGCTAATAATACAACAGCTCTATCTCTCTCTCCCTTTGTCTTTCTCTAGGTCTAAAGGTCTCATGATTCTATAGACTTTAGGGTGTTTCACCAAGCAAAAGAAGGATAGAAGAGGAAAATTCCTTCTTGCATTCCAGGTTTGTATGAGTGGGGACCTGGAATAATGGCAACTAGAGTAGTTCCCTTAACAATTTACTTCTGGGAGTTTCTGTTCCTCTTCCATTCTTCATCAGCCCTCCTGCCATCCTTGACACAATTCATTTTGCATAGGAAAATGGCTGGGCATTGGGGAGGGTAGGGAAAAATGAATTAAGTGATGAAAATTTTGTTGATCTTCCCAACAAGTACATTGCTTCTATGCTTTCCTGTTCTCCAGATGGTTCCCATTTTCCAGATGCTTAAATTCATTTTTTTCCCCACTTTTAGGTCTCCTTCCAGTGGCTGCTCTCCGGACCTTTAAGTGCTTAAACGCCATTGTCCAGTCACACCACCCTCTTTCCTAGCTTGACTGAGCCCTCCTATACATTGTTTGTGCCTTCCGCAGAGCTGATTACATGGGTCGTGTTCAGGACGTGGGCTGGGCCACTGCAGGACTGGTAATCTGGGCTGGTACCTGTTACTGCATTTACAGATTAACCAAGGGAAGATATCAGAGTGTGAGCAGAGATGGGTCCAGAATCAAGACAGAGACTGTGGTTGGGGAAGAGAACCAGACCATGGCCACAGACGAAGCCATGGCTGGAGCAGAGACTGAGACTAGAGCCATGACTGAACCAGAAACTGGAGAAGGAGGTGAGCCTGTGGCTGAAGTAGACACCAAGGTCCCTGTTCTAGTTAGACCCAATATCAACTATCAGGCCAAGAGAATTCTTGAGGAAGAGATAGAGACTCATTCTGAGACCAGTTTATTGGTGGAAACAATGGTCATGACAGACGCAGTGACTTTCACAGAAGCCACAGGCCAAGCCAAGGAAGTAACCATGAAAGAGGCAGTGACACAAACTGATGTTGAGACTGAGGAAGTAGGCAAGAAAGAGGCAGTAACTCAGACCAAGTCTAAAGCTTGGGCAGTGGCTGACAGGGCAGAGGTCAAGAAAGAAGCAATGACCCAGACCAAAGCAGAAGCTCCTTCACTGGCTGAAAAGGAGACAGAGATTAACAGAGTAACAGTAACACAGAGTGAGGTCTTGGCAGTGACCAAGGAAGTAGTCAAGATTGGCACCATGAATGAGACTGGAATTGTGGCAGAAGCCACGATAAGAGCACTGGAAGAGACTGTGTGTGTGACTAGGACTCAATCTGAGACTAGGCTTGATGTCACAGTTGATACTAATGAAAATTCCAATGATATGCCCCTCATAGTGGCTGGAGTGGATGTGAAATCCTATGCACAGCCTCAGGCTGTGACCATAATCCAAAATGATGACATGATCGGTGATGAGGGTGACGACCAGGGGAATCTGAAAAACACGTCTAAGGCAGGGTCTGCGGTAGATAAAGACACTTCTGCTCAGCCTCATATTGTTGCCAACATTCTGGCTGAAGCCATGCCAGGGGCAAAGGATGATGCCTGTGATAACACAAATGACATTTGTGAAGCAGAGGCAGATCTGAGAACTTATATAATACAACCTGAGACTGTGGCCACAATACAGGCTGAGGCAATGTCTGGTGCCACGACTGACGATGGGGAAGATGCCAGTGATGTATTTAAGGCAATGACTGGTGCTGAGATAACTGATACCAATCCTCAAGCTGTAACCAGTGATCATATTGAAGCCACGCCTGATGCCAATGCTAAGGGTAAAGGTAATGCCAGTGCCACGGCTAAAGCAGGGGCCAAAGCAAACACAAAAACCAATTTGCAGACTGATGCCTTGCCTGAAACCGAGGATAAAAACAGAAGTGATACCAACGACATGGCTAAGGCAGAGGCTAGTGTAGACGTGGTTTCCTGTGCCCAGCCTGACCCTGTGGCCAGTGTCCAGGGTGATGACTTGCCTGATGGCAAAATCAAGCCTAAGGACAATGCTAATACCATATCTAAGGAAGGAACTCAGACTACGGCCCAGAGCCAGGGTGAAGCCTTACCTAATACTAAAGGTAAGGCTAGAGGCAAAGCCAAAGCCAAGTGTAAGGCAGGAGCTGCGGCAGATGTGAAACCATGTGCACAACCTCAAGGTGGAATCAAAACCCAAGCTGAGCCCTTGTCTGATTCCAAGGTTGACAGCAAAAGTGACTCTAATGCTGTTTCTAAAGCAGGGGCAAAGGCAGACCAGAAAGCCTGTGCTCAGCCACAGCCTGTGGTCAACTGCCAGAATGAGGCCTTGCCTGCTACTAAGAATAAGGTCAAGGGCAATCCAAATCCTATGCCTAAAGCAGAGGCTGGGACAGCTACAGCAGGCTCTGCCCAGACCAATGTTGTGACCAGTTCCCAGGGGGAGACCACACCTGGTGCCAAGACTAAGGTCAAGGGTAATCGTAATTCTGTGCCTAAAGCAGGGGCTGGGCCAGATACTACGGGTTCTGCCCAGAACCAGACTGTAGCCAGTTCCCACAGTGAGGCCTTACCTGGTGCCAAGAATAAGGTTAAGAGCAATCCCAATGTTGTGCCTAAGGCAGAGGCCGGGGTGGGTGCCTGTCCCCAGTCTGTGGCTGTTTCCCAGGGTACTGCCTTGACTGGTACCAAGGCAAAGGTCAAGGGCAATTCTAATGCTGTGTCTAAACCAGATGCTGGGGCAGGTACAATGGGCTCGGCCAAGGCTGTGACCAGTTCCCAGGGTGAGACCTTACCTGGTTCCAAGAGTAAGGTTAAGGGTAATTCCAATGCGGTACCTAAGGCGGATGCTGGGGCAACTACAACAGACTCTGTTCAGCCCCAGGCTGAGGCCTTGCTTGGTGCCAGAAATAAGGTCAGGGGCAATTCCAATTCTGTGCCTAAGGCAGAGTCTGGGGCAAGTACAATACTGGCTTTGGCTTCTTCCCAGGCTGAAGCCTTGCTTGGTGCCAGAAATAAGGTCAGGGGCAATTCTAACACTGTGCCTAAAGCAGAGGCCGGGTCAGGTGCAAGGGGCTCTGCCCAGTCCCAGGCTGTGGTCAGTTCTCAGAACGAGACTTTGCTTGGTGCCAGGAATAAGATTAGGGCCAATGCTAGTACTAAATCAGGAGCCAAAACAGGTACAAGGGGTTCTGCTCAGCCCCAGGCTGTGGTCAGTTCCCAGAGTGAAGCCTTGCTTGGGGCAAGGGATAAGGGTCTGTCCAGCTCACAGGTAGAAGCCACTGCAGACAATAAGACACATGCAAGGCCAGTGGCAGGGGGCGGGGCCCCTTCAGAAAGTGTGAGTGGGGCAGGTGCTCAGGGTGGATCAAGTTTAGGTTTCAGACCATATATCGAGACTGGGAGAACAGTGTAACCTGGGCCGAGGATGAGAATGGAGCCGCTGTTGGGCCCTGGAGTGGGGCCAATGATAAGACTGGCATTGTGAGTTCCTGGGCTGTGGCTTGTGATGAAGCTAGCATTAAGTCCTGGACTGGGGCTAGGACTGAGAATGAGGTTGCTCTTGGATCCTGGGTAGGTGCTGGTGACCAGACCAGTGGAGCACTCTGGGCAGGAGCTCAGGCTGCTGACGGGACCTGGGTTGCGGACAAGACCGGTGGAGCTTCCTGGACTGGGGCTGAGAACCAGCTCAGTGCAGGTTCTTGGGTTGTCTCTGGAAACCAGGCCATTACAGGTCCCTGGGCTGTGAGTCAGGTCAGTGATGGGTCGTGGCCTGCAGGGGCGGCCAGTGGAGTGTCCTGGGTTGTGGACCAGGCTACCGGGACCTGGACTGTGGCTGATAACCAGGCTGGTGCAATGTCTTGGGCTGGAGCTGGCAACATAGTTAGTATTGGATACTGGACTGGGGCTGTAGACCAGACCAATGCAGTGGCCTGGACAGGGACTGCTGAGCAGGTTGGTGGTGAGGTCAAGCCAAGGTATGAAGATCAGGCCAGTGAAAAGGGGACCTGGGCTGGAGCTGCTGTCCAGACCAGTGGAGACTCCAGGTTGGGACCTGAGGCTCAGTCCAGTGGAAGGGCTTGGGCTGAGACTGCAGACCAAGCCAGTGCAGCATCCAGGCTTGCAACTGTAGATCCATCTAGTGGAGTATCCTGGCCTGTCACTGGGGCCCAGGCTGGTGGAGTATCTACATCAGGCTCTGCAGACCAGTCCAGTAGTGGGTCTTGGACTGGCACTAGGAATCTGACTGGGGAAAGATCCTGGACTGGGACTGGTGATCAGTCTAATGGTGGAGCCAAACCTGGTTTTGAGAACCAGACAGGTGCTGAAGGGTCTTGGACTGGCACTATTAGCCAGGCTAGTGGAGGGTCCAAGTCAGTGCCTGGGGATCAGTCTGCTGGAAGATCCTGGACAAATTCTGGAGATCAACTCAGTGGAGGATTCTTGGTTGGGCCTTTGGACCAGGCCAGTGGAAACTCTCAGCCTGGTTCTGGAGACCTGGTTGCTAGTGGAGTAAATCCGTCCAGTGGAGGAGGATGCTGGGCTGGTTCTGGGGACCAGTCTGGTGGAGAATCTAGGATGGGGACCAGGGGCCAGACTAATGGACAGTCTTGGCCTGGCACTGGCGATCAGACTGGTGGATGGTACTGCACTTACACGCCGACTCAGGCCATTGGAGGAGCCTCTTGGGGTGCTACTGCTCAGGACATTGGAGTGTCAAAGCCAGTGCAGGTGAACCAGTCTAGTAGTGGGGCCTGGCTTGGAAGTGGAACTCAGGTCGGTGGTGTGTCCTGGACTGGTGATCAGGTTGGTGGCTGTCCCAAACCTGGATTTGAGGATCAGGCCATTGGAGGAGGATTCTGGGCTGCTGCTGGAGATCAGAGCACTGGAGGGTCCAGACCAGCTGTGTCTGAGGATCAGTCTAGTGGAGGAGTTTCTTGGGGTGGAGCTGGTGCTCATGTCATTGGAGGCAATAGAACATGTCCAACTGATCAGGCCAGTGGTGCGTCCTGGGCCGGCATTGGAAGTCAGGTCAGTGGAGGGTCCTGGGTTGGACCTGTGGATCAGACTAGCGGCTGTTCTAAATCTGGATTTGAAGATCAGACATGTGGAGGAGGCTCTTGGGCCGGTGCTGTGGACCAGACTAGTGGAGAATCCTGGCCTGGGTCTAGGGCTAGTAATGAAGCCAGTGGAGGATCTAAGCTAGATACCCAAGAGCAGACCAGTGGGAGATTCCTTGTAAGTGCTGAGGTGGAGGCCAATGAAGGATTTTGGTTTGGGCCTGGGAGTGAGGCCTTTATAGGGTCTTGGTGCTGGACAGAAGAGGCTACTATTTTGCCTATAGCTAATATGAATGATGAGACCAGTGGTGAATCCACGTCAGGCACTAAGGAAGAAACCAGCGCTAGTTCTGGATTGGAGGATGAAAAGAAGACCAGTACTGAATCCTGGACCAGAGCTGAGGAGACAGCTCTTGCAGGCACCTGTGTTGGAGGTGAGCCTGAGAATGTGGCTGGAGCTGAGGCTGAAGTTGAGACAGAAGCTAAGGATACAGCTGAAGCTGAGGCTGGAGCTGGGCCTGAGGCTGGAGCTGGGCCTGAGGCTGGAGCTGGGCCTGAGGCTGGAGCTGGGCCTGAGGCTGGAGCTGGGCCTGAGGCTGGAGCTGGGACTGAGGATGGAGCTGGGCCTGAGGCTGGAGCAGAGGCTGAGGCTGGAGCAGAGGCTGAGGCTGAGGTTGAGGCTGAGGTTGAGGCTGAGGTTGAGGCTGAGGTTGAGGCTGAGGTTGAGGCTGAGGCTGAGGCTGAGGCTGAGGTTGAGGCTGAGGCTGAGGCTGAGGCTGAGGCTGAGGCTGAGGCTGAGGCTGAAGCTGAGACTGAGAATAGCATGGGATTTTGGGTCTGGGATGGAGATGCAGCCACTAAAGGGTCTAGGCTTGGGGCTGAGGCTGAGGCTGAGGTTGAGGCTGGAGCTGGGGGAGGGGCTGAGGCTGAAGCTGAGACTGAGAATAGCATGGGATTTTGGTTCTGGGATGGAGATGCAACTACTAAAGGGTCTAAGCTTGGAGCTGAGGCTGGGGCTGAGGCTGGAATTGGGACAGGAGCAGGGGCAGAGGCTGAAGCTGTGACTGAGACCAGCATGGGATTTTGGTTTTGGGAAGGAGATGGAGCAGCTAAAGGGTCGAAGCTTGGGGCTGAGCCTGAGGCTGGGGTTGGAGCAGGGGCTGAGGCTGTGGCTGAAACCGTGGCTGTACCAAGCATGGAGTTTTGGTCCTGGGATGGAGATGCAGCCACTAAAGGGTCTAGGCTTGGAGCTGAGGTTGAAGCTGGGGCTGGAGTTGTGGCCGAGGCTGGGGCTGAGACCAGAATGGGGTTTTGGTTTTGGAATGAAGACTCAACCACGAAAGGGTCTGGGCTTGGGGCTGAGGCTGGGGCAGGAGTTGTTGCAGAGGGTGGGGCTGAAGCCAGAATGGAGCCTTGGTCCTGGGATGGAGATGCAGCCTCTAAAGGGTCTAGGCTTGGGGTTGAGGCTCAGGCTGGCTTAGGGTCTTGGACTTTTTCTACGGATGTAAATGATGATGATGATGATGATGAGGAACTAAGTAGAGAATCCAGCCCTGGTATTGAAGAGATCAGTCTAAGAAACTTGTTTGGGGCTGAGAGTGAGGACAATAATGACCTCAGATCTACAAATGAAAAAGATACCAATTCTGAATCTGGGACTGGGGATAAGGACAGCACTAAAGATAAGTTTGATGCTGCTGATGGAGTTGACATCCGGTCTTGGTTCTGTACTGGTAATGAAAACAGATGTGAGGATGAGTCTACATCTCAGGTGAAAGCCAAAAAGTCGACTGAACCAAGAGGCATATATCCACCCATGGTCCCTGGGGCAGGAATGGGTGTATGGGACGGAACCATAGTTTGTTCAGAGAGCAAGTTATTACACCAAACCAGCTTTCCAGGGGAAGAAGGCTTCAGAAAGCAGTTCCCTGCCACTGCCGCTGTAGACGTGAAGTCAATCTGGATCCGCAAGATCTCGAGAAGCTCATTTGCATGATTGAAATGACTGAAGATCCTTCTGTTCATGAAATAGCCACGAATGCTCTATATAACAGTGCTGATTATCCTTATCCCCAGGAAATTGATCGGAATATAGGTGGGATTTCAGTTATTCAAAGCTTATTGAGTAATCCCCACCCCACAGTCCGGCAGAAGGCTTTAAATGCATTGAATAACATCTCAGTTGCCGCTGAAAACCATAGAAAGGTTAAGACATATTTAAGTCAAGTATGTGAAGATACTGTCACCTATCCCTTAAATTCAAATGTACAAGTGGCTGGACTAAGATTGATAAGACACCTGACTATTACTAGTGAGTATCAGCATATGGTTACCAATTATATTTCAGAATTTCTCCGTTTGTTGGCTATGGGAAGTGGAGAAACTAAAGACCATGTTTTGGGAATGCTTGTGAATTTCTCTAAAAATCCATCCATGACAAAAGACTTGCTCATTGCCAATGCACCAACAGCACTGATTAACATTTTTAGCAAGAAAGAGACAAAAGAGAATATTCTTAATGCCCTTTTACTTTTTGAAAATATAAATCATCATTTTAAAAAGAGAGCAAAAACATATCCCCAAGACAGGTTCAGTAAAAGTTCCCTTTATTTCCTGTTTCAACGACCTAAAGCCTGTGCCAAGAAACTTAGAGCCTTAGCAGCAGATTGTAGTGACCCAGAGGTGAAAGAAAGAGTTGAGGTATTAATAAATAAACTCTGATTGGCTATCTGTTTCCCCCAAAGTTTGAGTAACATTTTGGTTTTACACCCTTGACATGATGTACATTGTAAATTGTATTAGAACTGTGAAACTAATGTTGCCTATGAGGGTCTATAGCTGGACAATTTTATGAACACCAAATGAATTCAAACTTGTTCTGGAAATACATGTGTCCATTTTTATCTTGTCTGGATTGAGATATTTTTAGTATGCTTCATGAGCAGAAACCAAACTGATTCTTCATAAGTAAGGTAATCTTTGGTCCTTTGTGTGGACTTATGTTTATACATTTGAGATTTTATTTTTATGTCATCAATAAAGTTGTGTGTTTTAAGAAGCAAAAAGAAATAATTGTCTTCATCCTTGTGCTTACGATCTGTTTAGAAAGATAAGGTATGCGGAAATAAAATCGGAAGTCTTCGGGTCACAGCTGCTTCCTGTCACTGCTTGGAGGAAGCAGAAAAGGCTGCACGATGCATCAGTGCCAGGGAATGCTTTATGGAAAGGGGGATCTTTTTTAAGCAAATTGTGCTTGAAGAATAAAATACAAATGTTCAAAAAGGCCATTTGAGGAGGGAGAATTGGTGGAAGAAAGACAAGCAAGTGGGGAATGATTCAGGACGGCCATGAGAGGAAACAGAAGAGTGAGGAAGTTAATGTGATTTCTGTCTATGGAACACCTCTGATTGCCACAGCGTCTGAATATTATATTTATCCCTAGAAACAGCAATGACTTTCACAATCAGAGGATGAAAGGAAAATAATGTGGTTGGTTTCTGTTCAGGATGAGTCCAAGTTGGAGTAAGGACAGGAATGTTGCCTAGGGATAGGAAAGCAAGCTGGGAAGCCACCATCATAGCACAGGCATGAGATGGCTACACATCTGAAATGTCATTAGGTAAATGTCATTCCTGTGGGCATCATAAGGACAAGATATAAGTGAGAATTCTCTCCTTTGTGACTTACTAGGTAGTCAAGGCTGGCCTTGAACTCCTGGCAATCCAAGTGTAGGCCTGAGTCACTCCCTGTGACTGGGATCAGAAATCCCTGTAATGAGTAAGTGCTCCAGCCTATTCTGGGGACATATAAAGAGGATCAGTTTAATTTTAGGTTTGTGGAGTCCATGGGAACATGTCCTCTTTCATAGCCAACTCTGGTATCTATATAAGTGTGTAAGAATATTGTTTTGAATTAACAAGAAAATATAGTCGAAAGAAAAATAAATTTTAGTACTTTTACCAGGATTTCTTTAGTAAGATTGGTTGGAGTGGGTTTTCATGGTACCATCAATAATGATATTGAGATCCACAGGGGAGAAGAGCCAATATTTTTCCACTCCACAGTGTTGGTGAGGGTACGTTTACGTGTGTGTGTGTGTGTGTGTGTGTGTGTGTGTGTGTGTGTGAGCATTCAGACTGTGTGGGTGACAGCATACAAAGTAAGTTACTAAGCATTTCTGTCCTTATCTGCTGACTTAGTTTCCTTATATTAAAAAAGAAACTAGTAAAAGGAAATTAGTAAGAAAAAAATAGTTTTTTTCTCAGTTTTGCCTAGTTTGAGGGTGAAGGATGTATGCAGGATTCTTACAGTTTATAGAAAACTATAATATCTTTAAGCACAGAAAAAATACACACACACGCAGGCACACATTCACACATGCACACACACACACACACATGCACATGCATGTATGTGTTTAATTAGTCCTTTCCTCAGGTGACTGGGCCTGAGTTTTTCTCTGTCCACTGTCACTGTTCTCAACAAGTAGTCTCTATTTTTAGCACAGAGGAACATACACATCTCTCTTTAGAGCCCTAGCCCATTGTCTCTTCACTCGGAATCTTGGTTACAGGCACAAGGTCCATTGGAACATTTCAAAGCTTTTAAGGTATGGATACCTTTTCTTTCTTTTTCTCTTTTTATATTTTATTTTATTTTGTGGTGTGTGTGTGTGTGTGTGTGTGTGTGTGTGTGTGGGTGGAAGGGGCTTGCCATGGCACAAGGGACCACTTGTAGGAGTTAGCTCTTTTCTTCCACCGTGTGGGCTCTGGGGCTTGGCAGCAAGTGCCTTTACCCAATGAGCCATCTCACTGTCCCTGTTTATGCCCTTTCACTCAACAATGCTATTTGTAGAAATATAACTTAAGGAGCAAATAAAATAATCAGCTTGCAGTGAGTTGTGCATATTCAAATTGTTTTGAAGGGTGAAAAAGTACAAGGTTATTTAAAATAAGCATCTACATTTATGGCAGAGAATTTGGCATGAAATCCTCAGTAGGAAAACACATTGTAAAAGCATATATAATTTCTATGAAGAAAAAATGTGGGGAGACTCAGTGATGTGCTTGCTATGAAATCATGGGGACCTACCTGACTTTGGATCTCCAGTACTCATAGAAAAAGCACTGGCAGAACTTGCCTGTAATCACTCTTCTGTGGGCTCAGAAACAAGATGATCCCTGGGGTTTGCTGCTCCCAATCTAGACAATGGGCAGTGAATGACAGTGTCTGAAAACAATAATAACCAAGGTGGAGGGCTGGTGAGATGGCTTAGCCCTAAGAGCACTTGCTGTTCTTGCAAAGAAACTTAGAGCATTTCTCAGCATTTCCCTTGTGCCATGTAGGGCAATTCACAACCTTGTAAAAACCTGGCTTCAAGGGATTTGACCTCCTCTTCTGGCACCCATGGGAACCCCCACACACCTATGGTTTACATTCAGATATACACATGCACATGAATTTTAAGAAAGAAAATTAATCTTTAAAAAAGTAAACCAAGGGCTGGAGAGATGGCGCAGAGGTAAAGAACACTGGCTGATCTTCAAAAGGTCCTGAGTTCAATAACCAGCAACCACATGGTAGCTCACAGCCATCTGTAATGAGATCTGGTGCCCTCTTCTGGACTGCAGGCAGTATACTGTATCCATAATAAATAAATCTTTAAAAATCATTTAAAAAAAAGTAAAAACCAAAAAAGGAGGAGAAACAGTCCAATAGGAAAATACCCAAGTTGACCACTGGCCTCCTCATGCACCTGCATACCACACATGTGCACACACACATAAACATGTACAGCCACAACAAAATGGCCTCTGAAATGAACTGCTATATGAGAAAATTAACATTTTGTGGGTATTAGTTAGACTATGGGAGATTTTTTATCAGTTCTTTTAAAGATAAAAAGATTTGCTTACTTTTAAATTTATCTTTTGAGACAAGATCTCACTGTATAGACATGGCTGTCCTGGAACTCACTATGAAGACAAGGCTGGCCTTGAACTCACAGAGATCCGCCTAGTTGTGCCTCTTGAGTGCTGGGATTAAAGACATTTGCTCTCAAAGCTTCCTTTATGTTTTTATGTATGAGTGTTTACCTGCGTGTATATATGTGCACCATGTGTATGACTAATGCTCTCAGAACCCAGAAAATGGTCTTGGATCCCCTGGAACTCGAGGTATAGATGGTTGTGAGCCACCATGTAGGTGCTGGGAACCAAACCAAAGTTCTCTGCAAGAGCAGCAACTACTCTTAACTGATGAGCCATCTCTCCAGCCCCATCTTTTTTATATGTAATAAGTAGAAGTTTCTTGTCTAGTTTAGACCAAGGTCAAATAATGTATTTTGGATGTGCAGGCCTGTCAGTCACTTTTGAAAACCATAGAGCAAAAGTTTAAATAAAAGTTTGCATATATATGGAAGGTATAACTTAAAGGTTTAAATGGGTGTTCAAATAAAACCGTGTTTAAAATTCTTATTCTCTTAAACCATTCTGTAAAATGAAAGTATTAATGGTCCATGTTCAATGTCACACACTTATTGTCCCAGCTAGTCAGAGGACTGAATCACAAAGGATGGCCAAAATCGTGAGGTGACATCAAAACAAAACAAAACAGTCTCAAGTGTGCTGTTTGAGAACCACAGACATTTCATTGAAAAGAAATGGTATCACGTGCTAGGCATGGTGGCCCACACCTTTAATGCTAGCACTCAGAAGCAGAAGCAGGAGAGTTTCTGTAACTTTGAGGCCAACCTGGTTTACATAGTAAGTGCCATGACAGTCAGGCCTGTGTAGAGAGACCCTGTCTAAAAAAAATGGTATCACATTGTAATGGATTCTACCAACTGCTGCCTGATCCCCTGACAGGAATAAAGTGCTTATTTCATTTGTTAGGAGTAATGTTAGTAGATAGCTCTCAGATGTCATCACACTTTCAGAAATGCATCGACTGAAAACAGCTACCTCCCCAAGATCATACCCTCTTCCTGGGGGCATTTTCTGTCCAATGACTGATGGACATGGCTTGAGACAGCTTATTAGCTCCCTCTGTCCATCCTGCTTCCCCCCTTTCCCTTCAATAGACATTGATCCCATGGGATTCCCCAATAAAGCCCTTCATGGTATACTCTGTCTTTGTCTGCTCCCTGGAGAACAAACCTTCAAGAATCAATACAAGAAGCTGTCCAAGAAAGCAAACACTGGGATGAAATATTCTAAACAGATTTCTTGCTGACCAGTTCTCAATGTGAACTCCATCCCAGGTGGAAGTTTGCATAGGTAGAAATATGGAATGAGGTGGCACAAGAACAGCTAGAGAGAATTTGCTGATGAAATGGAAAGCATTGTCTGGCACCATATGTCAAAACTTAAAAAATGAGGCTAGAGGCATGACTCATTAGCAGCATTTGTTGTTCTTGCAGAGGATCTAAATTTGATTTCCAGCACCCATGTGGTAGTTTATAACTATCCGTAAGTCCCATTCCTGGGGATTCATTGCCCTCTTCTGAACTCTGTGGGCACTAGGCACATACATGGTGCATATACAAACATTCAGATAAAACACTTAAACATAAATAAAATATATACATCTAAAATAATTTAAGTACTTTGAGAAACATGGTATAAATTTTATATATAGGGAATGTATTAAGTTTGATTGACATTTAAAAAACTGAAAAAGTAACTTAAATAAGTTAAAACCTAAAAGCTGTATTCAAAAGTAAGAGAGCTTCCCTCACAGATTATATTGAGCTTTAATGTACAGGAAGACAAATCCAAAGAGTAGGCACAGGAATTATTGAAAAAAGTAAAGCTTCAAAGAATGTTGATGGTGCATGCCTTTAGTCCCAGCACTCAGGAGGCAGAGGCAGGCGGATCTCTGTGAGTTCAAGGTCAGCCTGATCTACAGAGCGAGTTCCAGGACAACCTCCAAAGCAATACAGAGAAACCCTGTCTCAAAAACAACAACAACAACAACAAAAAACCCAAAACCAAAAAACAAAGAATGTTAAAATCATAACCAAATCTTCTATGTTAGATCC